GTGGTCAGGGCGCCGGGATAAGGCATCTGCGACCCGATTAGTTTCACCCTTGATGTGCTCAGTGGTGAAACTAAACTCGGATAGGTCGCGCCACCAGCGAGCCTGTCGAGAAGTGAGCTTCGGTTTTGCCAGAAAAGCCTGGACAACAGAGTTGTATGTACACACCGTGAACGGTGCCCCGTGCAGGTAGTGACGCCAGTGTCGAGCGACATAAACTACTGCGAGAACCTCACGTTCATCAGCGGTATAGTTTATCTTGGCGGGCAGGAGCTGACGGGAGTAGAAGGCTATCGGACAATCACCGGAGCCAGACTCGACAGTGCCGTCCTCGGTGATGGTAGGAGAATAGTCAATAGAAGGCTCGTCAGTAGCTGGACGAGTAGGCGTCAGTCGGGACGCAGTGGTAGGGATAGGTGGTGGGAAGTGAGGGATACGAGGATGAGAGGAATCAGGAGAGGAGGGGAAGACCTGAGAAAACACTGCTCCTACAGCGAAGTCTGACGCATCGGTGGTAAGGATAAAAGGGCGGTCAAAATCGGGTAGGTGAAGAACTGGTGTGCATGTCACCGCCTTCTTGAGGGCGCGGAAGGCACCCTTGTGGAGGGGTGTCCAAGCCCAGGGTGGGTTCTTCCGGAGGAGGGTGGAGGTAAGGACGTAGGAATACCTAGCGTATCCCCGGATGAAGTTACTATAGTAGCTGGTCCGGCCTAGGAAGCTGCGCAGCTGCTTGGCGGATGTGGGGGTGGGCCACTCCGCAATAGCAGTGATCTTCGCGTCGTCCATGTGGAGACCCTGGTCAGACACGTAGTGTCCTAAGAAATCCACTTTGTGCTGGGCAAAGCGGCACTTGCTCAGCTTGGCGTAGAAGCCATGTCTGCGCAAGCGGTCAAGGACGTCGCGGAGGTGTCTGAGGTGCTCCTCAAGGGTACGACTGTAGACCAGGATATCATCGAGATAGACGAGAACGTACTGCTCCAGGATGTCCTTGAAGATGTTGTTCATCGCCTTCTGGAAGGTGGCGGGTGCATTGGTGAGGCCGAATGGCATCACCGTAAACTCGTAGTAGCCAAAGCGTGATCGGAACGCAGTCTTCGGCTGGTCGGCTGCAGCGACGCGGATCTGATGGTAACCGCTACGAAGATCAATCTTCGTAAAGAAGCGATTGCCTGCTAGGCGGTCGAACAGCTCATCGGAACGAGGAATGGGGTAGTTGTTCTTAACCGTGTAGCGGTTGAGACCGCGATAGTCGATGCAGAGACGGAGAGTTCCATCCGCTTGTGAGCAAAGAGGACGGGTGCACCCCACGGGGAGTTGCTGGGTTTAATGAAACCCAGTCTCAGGAGCTCCTCAAGCTGACGCTTG